GCTCCTCTTCTTTGCCAGGAGACCCAGTGCCTACTGCCACATAGTCACTTTCCCAGCTTCCCTTGCAGTTAGAGCAAGGGCATTTCCCAATCCTAACTGAGGAGACCTCTGAAGAAGTTTGCTATAGCATTGGAAGCCAGAGACTCTTCTCCCATAAAAGAAGAAAAGCCATCCCTTTTCCACACTAGCCTTTAGTAATGATTGTGTGTGGATGAGCTGCCTAGACTTGAGGAAGCCATCTTGGGGACATGAAGGGACAAGACAGAAAGCAAATGACAACATGCAATGGATGGTAGGGTGGACAGATCAGAAAAGAGCTTAGGGGTAACTGGATGGCTCAGTCAGTTAGACGTCTGACTTCAACTCAGGTCACGATCTCGCAGTTTGTGAGTTTGAGCCCCGCATCAGGCTCTCTGCTTTCAGCATGGAGCCTGCTTGGGATCCTCTCTCACCCTCTCTCTCTCTGTGCCTCCTCTGCTCACACTCCCTCTCTCTCTTTCTCAAAAATAAATAAACATTTTTTTAAAGAGCTTAGATCCTTGAAGACATCACTGAGACCTGAATTGATCAACCCTACAACTGCCCTATCTCTCTACATTTCTTGTTATATGAGATATTTCATGTTTTCATTTTAGCCGCTTTTAGAGGAGTATTTCTGTTACTTGCAACCAAAAACATCACAATAGATATAAAGGCCATCTCTTCCAGGAGAAATTAATCTGGCACATATGTGGCTGTTGTATTGGACAACACAGATCTAGTACATACAAAAATCCTTTCCCAATTAGTTATGCTCATTCAGACTTCAAGTGACCCATCAAGAATTTGTGACACTCATTCCCTAATATTCAGTTCCAGATTCTGTACTGAGTGCCATAATTTCAATTTATACTTAGTCTTCCATAGAGTGGCTGGCAAACAAAGAAGCAGTCGGTTTTATTTTTTATAGGTTCTTTGCTTTTGAATAATGTAACCTTCTTTTGGCTCAGTAGGGCACTCCTAAGATAGAACATCCATTCACTCATTTAATTTGCTGAACTCATTTTTATTTGGCACCTATTATGTGTTAGGCACAATTATCTAGATTATTCCAATAGTACTTTCAAGTGTGCAGTTTCCACCACCCCTAGCTTCTCACCTCTCTTGCCACTCTCCCCTACCACCCCCATGCTTCCCCACAGTGTAAGGCAGGCAGAAGCTGTCTCTGGATATCAGTACATGCAATCCAACCAAAGCAGATAGACATTCCAGGGCCTCCAACCTAAGTGTAAACTGATAGTAACCAATGATAGTCCTTTTTTCCCTTTGAGACGTGTGAACAGTAAGTTCACCAAGGTTCGTGAACCAGGTGCTGCCTGCCAGCACATTCCTTTATATTTCTAATCCCCTTCAACTTAATTTTTTCATAAAGGCTTTCCACAAAGAGAAGAAAAAAGCTGTTTATGTACTGAATTACTAATCTTGGCAAAGACTCAGACAAGAGGGTGGGGAGGTGTGGTGGTTGGAAGGGCGGAGGGCATATGTGTGAGAACGTATGTCAAAACACCTACAGTGGGGACATCAAAGGTTACCTCGTATGCTTGGCCAGATGCAGAGCAGGATCGGGAAGAGCACTGTGGGCAACATTTTCCAGGAACTCGGATGATAGTTTCATCCTTAGACCCAAAAAAGGAACAATCCATCAAAAGGAGACATTAATAAAACCCACAACAGTAGGAAAATTTCATTCATAGCCCACTCAATCATGTGCCTCAAGCATCCATAAATAGCAATTTCCTCTCGTTTAGTATTTATTAGTCACCTGGTGCTTTGATAAGAATTTGCACTTCCAAAGTCAGCGTGATTCTTAAGACATTTGCACATTCCTCAAGTCCTACCCTCTTTTCTAAGAGCAAACAAAAGCACAAATAATAATAATAACAATAATAATTGTACTCAGTGTTTACCAGGCATTATTTTAAGGCTTTACATTATTTTTTTTAATTTTTTTTAACGTTTATTTATTTTTGAGACAGAGAGAGACAGAGCATGAACGGGGGAGGGTCAGAGAGAGAGGGAGACACAGAATCGGAAACAGGCTCCAGGCTCTGAGCGGTCAGCACAGAGCCTGACGTGGGGCTCGAACTCACGAACCGCGAGATCATGACCTGAGCCGAAGTCGGACGCTCAACCGACTGAGCCACCCAGGCGCCCCGGCTTTACATTATTTTAAGTCTTCTTTCCTAAGAAGTAGATGTTCTTTTCCTTGCTTTACAAACAAGAAGAGTAAAGACCAGAGAGATTATATGACTCGCCCAAGGTCACACAGCCAACCTGGTAATGATAACGGTTGGAGCAAGACTTCACAGCACAGAACCATACCAATACTTAAGGATATTTACACTCCAGCTGAGTTATTGCTAAATCCAAAACGAAGTTATCCCTCTATTGATAAGCTACTTCACTATTCTTTTGCATCTTTATGTGAATCCACACATTTACATATATGCACTACATGCAAAAAAAATCAATTGTATCTCTAGATATTTGGGAATAAAGGCAGAAAAAAAGTAGGTGAGCTATTTGGGAATAAGGGCAGAAAAAAGTGGGTGACAGAGACTAAACGTCCAAGGAACTGCTCCCTGCCCTCTCCCTACTTCTCACCTCTACCACTCTCACCCCCCAAATATTAGACCATTTGTCTCCATTGCCCTGCAAAGAATTTTCACAAGAACAGTTCCGTCATTGATACCAAAGAGTCAGCTTCTCACTTTGATTTATCACCACAACCTTTTGAATGACAGGAAGGTAGACAAATTAAAGGCAAGGTTACAATATACTAAACTTTAAGGACCAAGAACTGGTTTATCTTACAGTTACTTTCACTTTGTCTTACAAGAAGCACAAAAGAGCTTTAACTTTTCTTGAACAGTTCCAGTCATACCTCAGTAGTTCTTTAACTCAACTGTGTATGATCAGTTAAATTAATGCATTACTATCTAATAGGGATTTATTTCAAGCAACTGAGTCACTGGAATTAAAATGACAACTGTTTTTGATGCTTTAGGTTATTTCATTTCCTTATTCTTCTACATGAGAAATATTATGACCATTGATGTTTAATAGAGTAGTGAAAATTGGGACACATGCTGAAATCATCAAGCATTTCTGAACCTCAGAACTCTTCAGCTTAATGAAATTTTAGTGAGAAAGTAAAATAACGGTATATTTGATGTCACACTATTCAGTAATTTTATTGTAGTAAACAAATGAATTTATACAATGCTTGGTAAACAGGGAACAAATGTCAGGATCACAAATCTTGAATCAGCACAGAGTTAGTATCAGTCTGTCTTAACCAACATGGACTAGACCCAAGTATAGTAGCAGAGTCAACTCAAGAGCATGGGGGAAGGAATTAGCTGTAGTAAGGTTGATACAAGGAAAATCAAACTTTCTAATTCTTACTGGCAATACCCAATTATATATTTTATTGACAGAAACAGAATCTTTATTCACTAATCCAGATCAATAAGGGCAGGAAAGAAAAGCATTTAAAGAGAAGATATCCCAGGTTACAAGAGAACTATCTGATGAGAGGTGGTAATTCACCCGGGCTGGTGCTTCATAAGCAAGACTGGACATGCAAGTAAGAAGATGCACAGTAAAATAGGTCAGAAAAATGGAAAAGATTTTTAACAGTGCATTTTGTTGCTATCTTCTATCTGTATCATTTCATCCTGGGCTATGTAGATTTGTCCTTCCAAAAGCATAGGCTATACAGGGGCCAGCCAACTATGGATCATGGACCAAGTCCAGCCTACCACCTGTTTCCATAAACTTTTATTGGAATGCAGCCACGTCCACTCATTTACATATTATCTATAGCTGTCTTTGTGTTACAATGGCAGAGTTGAGTAGTTGTTTCAACCGAATGGCACACAAAGCTGAAAATATTCACTATCTGGCTCTTTACAGAAAAAGTTCACCAACCCCAGGTCTTATATAGTACCTTCAGTAAACACAGAAATTGATACAAAAAAACTATGATTACTGTCATTACAATTTGGGGTAGGACTACCATTAAGGATATATTTAATTGTGGTTTTTCATATTCCTTAAATAAAAATATTTATGATAAAAATTTTATGGTGTATTATGGCTAACAGCTCTTGGTGAAATATTTTCCCACTATGATACCTCTGTAGATAGAGAAAGAGATAAAAATTTCACCACCAAAAAGTAAAACATCCAACCCCCTGCCACTGCTATGAGGAAGTCCCATTGAGCATAAGACATTTTATGGCCTTTCTTTGCTGTGTAAACCTAAATAGATATAAGAACCATCACGTCTGCCTAACTCCCTGCCTTTCTATACCAAACACAACCCAGATTCATCCCTCCGGTGTGTGGCCACAACTGTTGGAAGCAGTCAGAATGCCAGCCCTCACCTCCCTCAACATCTTTCTTGCTACATCTAATCAGAGCCCATAATGTAAAAAGGGGGGTGGGGGGGAGACTGGGAAGTATGTGTGCTGGAGGAGGCAGAGAGAGTGATAAAAAGTAGCAGGATAGGACAATGCCTCAACTGAAAGGCACATGGTCACTGAGGGAGGAAGAGAGCCTTTGCAGCGGTGCATACTGGGGATTACAGTTTTTTTTGTTTCACATATTAAAAATGTAAGAGGGCTGAGCAGTGGAGGTAGAAAAAGATCCAATCTTAGTACAATAGGGACATACTAAATGGAAACCCTCAGACAAGGAGACATATTTCTTAGCATCTGGCTGTGGATCCAAGAAGGGGAGTTAGCCAGGGGCAGGCCACTTACCCTTGCAGCTTTCGAGCAGTGGGTATGGACAGATTTCTCTTGATCAAGGATAAGTAAATAGAAGGCAAGGAACTTGGGAAAAACTCTGAAGAGCAAACAAAACTAATAATGTTCTGAAGATTCAGAGAAAGAGCAGACTTCTGAAAACTACACCTATAAGATCTTAAAAAAAAAAAAAAAAGGACTTAAAAGCAATTTTGCAACTTCAGTAAGATGCAAGAAAATGCAGTCTTTATTAAATGGAAGCAAGCAGCAATAAAGAAAGAATAAGCATTAGGATAAAAAAACTAGATGAACCAGTGAGAGGAAAAATAAGGAAAAATTAAAAGAAAATTAAAGTGAAATAGTCAAATTAAAATCAATACTAGAAGTGGTAAATACAAACTCAAGAAGCTCTCTCCATATGAAGAGGAAAGACACAAAGTGAAAAATGGTAAGAAAGAACATGATTGACAATAAGGGGAGAGGGGAGCAATCCAAGAATCATCATAACTTTCTGGAGAAATGAGAATAATTGGAATTAATATGATTAAATCAAAACCATAACTGGAGAAAGCATTTAAAAAACTAGAATACAGACTGAAAGGGCTTCACCATATTCTAGGCAACAAGGTGAAAAGACATCTCACCTAGAAATACCCTGACAAATTTTTTTGATTATAAAGATAAAGATACAACCTGCAAGAATCCAACAGACTAAAATTAGCTGAACACAATGGAATAGAAAGCAGACAGACATCAGACTTTCCCACCAGGGCACTAGATTTCAGGATTCAGTGGAAAAGAGTCCACAGAGTTGGGATGTGAAGAAATTAATAATGGCTCCCAATTGTTGACCCCTCCAATTATACCTAATATATGTGGGCAATAAGAAAATGATTTTCAGGGGCGCCTGGGTGGCTCAGTCAGTTAAGCATCTGACTTCAGCTCCTGCTTTGTCAAAGATTAGTTGGCCATACCTTTGTGGGTCTATTTCTGGGTTCTCTGTTCTGTTCCATTGATCTATGTGTCTGTTTTTGTGCCAGTGCCATACTGTCTTGATGATTACAGCTTTGTAATATAGCTTGAAGTCTGGACTTGTGATGCTTCTAGCTTTGGTTTTATTTCTCAATATTTTCATTGAGGGCTGATTTGTGACCCAGTATGTGATCTATTATGGAGAATATTCCATGTGAACTTGAGAAGAATGTGTATTCTGCTGGTTTAGAATGAAATGTTCTGAATATCATCTGTTAAGTCCATCTCGTCTAGTGTGTCATTCAAAGCCATTGTCCCCTTGTTGATTTTCTGCTTAGATGATCTGTCCATTGTTGTAAGTGGGGTGTTGAAGTCCCCTACTATTATGGTACTATTATCAATGAGTTTCTTTGTTTGTGATTAATTGATTTATATATTTGGGTGCTATCACATTGGGCACATAAATGTTTACAATTGTTAGATTTTCTTGGTGAATAGACCCCTTAATTATGATATAATGCCCTTCTTCACCTCTTGTTACAGTCTTTATTTTAAAATCTAGTTTTTCTGATATAAGTATGGCCACTCCAACTTTCTTTTGATGACCATTAGCATGATAGATGGTTCTCCAACTCCTTGCTTTCAATCTTCAGGTGTCTTTAGGTCGAAAATGAGTCTCTTGTGGGGCACCTGGGTGGCTTAGTCAGTTAAATGTATGACTTTGGCCCTGGTCATCATCTCACGATTTGTGGTTTGAGCCCCTCGTCAGGCTCTATGCTGACAGCTCAGAGCCTGAAGCCTGCTTCGGATTCTGTGTTTCCCTCTCTCTCTCTGCCCTTCCCCCACTCATACTCTGTGTCTCTTCCTCTCAAAAATAAATAAACATTAAAAAAAATTTGAAGTAGTTCTTGTAAGCAGCATATAGATGGGTCTTGTTTTCTTATCGATTCTTATACCCTATGTCTTTTGATTGGAGCATTTAGTCCATTTAGATTTAGAGTGAGTACAGAAAGATATGAATTTAGTGCCATTGTGTTGCCTGTAGAGTTGATGTTTCTGGTGATGTTCTCTGGTCCTTTCTAGTCTTTGTTACTTTGGTGTTTTGTTTTGTTTTTTCTTTTCTCCACTCAAAGAGTCCCCTTTAAAATTTCTTGCAGGGCTGGTTTAGTGGTCACAAACTCCTCTAGCTTTTATTTGTCTGGGAAACTCTTTATCTCTCCTTCTATTTTGAATGACAACTTTGCTGGATAAAGAATTCTTGGCCACATATTTTTCCGATTCAGCATGTTGAATATATCCTGCCACTCCTTTCTGGCCTGCCAAGTTTCTGTGGATAGGTCTGCTGCAAATCTGATCTATCTTCCCTTATAGGTTAAGGACTTTTTTCCCTTGCTGCTTTCATAATTCTTTCCTTATCTCTGTATTTTGTGAATTTGACTATGATGTGCTTTGTTGATGGTCATTTTTTGTTGAATCAAATGGGAGTTCTCTGGATTATCCCAGCCTCTAAAATGTGATTACAACCATGAAACAAAAAAATATATCCACATTTGCCTACAAAAAAATTGGAATGAATTACCCCCAAAATATATTGTGGTGTTTTTGAATGGTAGAAATATAGATGATCATTTTCTGCTTTTCTGCCTTTTCCAAACTTTGCTTAGTAAGTACAGATTCCTTTTACAATTTAAAAGAAAAAAAACTCTTACATTAAAAATCAAGTTTTTTCTGGAGCTCAAGACCTGGAAATACACTTTTTCTGATGGACTTGTGTGTTTTTAACATTTAATGAGTTAATGCATATAAAATAGTTGCAATCATGTTCAAGTCTGTTAGTGACTATTGTTATTGTGATTATTACTATACATAAATGTTATATAACTCAACATTTTGGAAGGCCATATAGTATAATGGTTAAAAATATGAGTCAGGTGGGGCACCTGGGAGGTTTAGTCAGCTGAGCATCCATCTTTGGCTCAGGACCCATGATCTCACAGTTTGTGAGTTCGAGACTTGCATTGGGCTCACTGCTGTCAGCACGGAGCCTACTTCAGATCCTCTGTCCCCCTCTCTCACTGCCCCTCCACCACTCACCCTTTCTCTCTCTCTCTCAAAAATAAATAAACATTGAAAAAAAATATGAGACGGGTGTGGTCTGTTGAATTTGTGATGCAGAATTGACTAGGTTAGAAGCACTGCTACTTCCTAACTGTGGTACCTTACGCAAGTCACTTAAGCTCTCCATATCTCAGTTTTATCTACCAGCAAGAGGGGATGATAATAATGGTTCTTACTTAATCAGGTTTTTATGAGAACTACAAAGCCCTTAAAATTAATGACTGGCACATAATAAATGCCAAAACTGTGGTGATGGTGATGACAACGATGATGGTAGAAGGTAGACAGTGGTGGTGATGTTACCATCAAAAGCCTAAATTTTATAATGCCCCTTTATATCATCAGAACATCTCATATTTAATAATGATATTAAATCAAGAAAAATATTTCTAAATAATCTGAGAGTTGCTTTTCTAAAGTATATGATGGCAAAAATACAAACTTAATGATACAAGAGTGATTAAAATCAACCTATTTTTAAGACTCCAGAATGCTTGTATATCAGCTAGCTCTAAGGTATGGTACCAAATTTCATCTTTTTAAATTAATTATGTATATCAGTGCAAACTATATGTGAGTGCAGTGTTTGAAGCTAGAGTTTGTGTTTAATGTTTTTAAAAATGGGAACTAGCACTTTCAGTTATTCCAATATCTATCCCCCTAACATGCAGTCCATTAAGGTTTCAAAGATGTAAAGCAGAAGGCTCACAATGTGGTGTTTCCTCCATGCCTCCTCCCACTTTCCTTATTGCAATGGTGGCAAACTGCTTAATTACCCTTCATACACAAGGGAACTGAATCCTGGAAAGTGCTAAATCAAAATGCCCCAACACTACAGCGTCCTCTGAATGTGAGATATTGTGCAACTCTACAGAGAAGCTCATTTGTAATCTCAGCACTGGGAGAAGACTTTGTGATGAATTGGGAGATGTGACATGAGCATGGTGGTTGTGGTAGGGTGGGTAATACAATCTAGTCTTTCAATTAGATACATTTTCCCTTTATTTGGCATTTAGCATTTCTTGTCTAATTGCCTTTTGTCTGCCTTTAAAAATATTGCCCAATTGTCACAATATGCCATGTTATTGATTTTGTTTTATTTGACACAAAGTACTGCTCTGTATCAACTGAATGTTGGCTTCCAGCTTTTCCTTAGATCAAAAATGAGCTGTTTTTCAACTGGAGGCAAACTCCTTTCATGGTTATCTGTCAACTGCCAAGGAACATCCATAGGAGCCTCTGGAAGAGTAAAAACTATAAAATACCATGTATACCACATTTATTTGCCATTGATTTTCCCTTCTAAATTTGTGTGAAGAGTCTAATGTTTTGAAAATCAGATGAACTTTAAATGAAGAACAAAATCCCACCATTTTTTAAAGCTTCCCAGAGAAGATTTGAATAACTTGAATCATTATCTTATAAGAATTAAAAAGTACACATCTGGATAATCATGTTCAAAGACATGCATATGTCTTTAAAAGCAAGACTATACCTATGCACTGAGACACAATACCTGATCGTATTACTGGCTTTTCCAGATGTTTAGCTTGACATTTTTGCAACATCTGCAACTGCCTTCTTTGTAGGTACCCTCAAGGCTCACTTTCATTATGTAAAGATTAGCCTAAATGGCTGATAATTAGACCTATCTATAGCTTCTAACAGTAAAAGAAACATCTCAAGGGTGGTCTCCAAAAGTATAAGGAAAACAAAACTGCCTTTGCTTCTTTTTCCTAGTACTTTTGAGGCCTGCCTGACAAACTCAGAAGAGGCTCAAATTCCTGAACACTGAAGTTAATAGTCTATGAAGGATCCATTTAGAGGCTGTCTTCCTTACCTGGTTACAAAACAGAGGTTGACACTGAGCTGTGAAGCACTGGGCGACCCCATTTCTACACACACATTTAGCACACCGACTCAGTGGCCAGTCTTCCCCATCCTGGAATACACGGCCTTCATAGGAACAAGGTTCTGGAAGGTCAGAAAAAATAAGGATTACTGGGGGGATTGTACTTGCTGATCCCAGGGCTGACTGCATGGGTGTGTAGCCAGTATAGTCACACAGGGCCCTGTGGTTGGGGGCGCTCAGACTTGGGGATTAAAACTCTGCAGTCAGGGGCACCTGGGTGGCTCAGTCAGTTATGTGCCTTACTCTTGATTTTGGCTCAGGTCAGGATCTCAAGGTTTGTGAGTTGGAGCCCCATGTCAGGATTCACCCTGGGGAGCCTGCTTGATATTATATATAGATGATGATATAGATGATATAGATATAGATAGATATAGATTAGATATATAGAGATAGAGATAGAGATAGAGATAGAGATAGAGATAGAGATAGAGATAGAGATAGAGATAGATAGATATAGATATATGTCCCTCTCTTTCTGCCCCTCCCTTTCTCTCTCTGTGTCTCTCTTTCAAAATAAATAAACAAACTTTAAAGAAAAAAACTCTGCAGTCACGGTATGGAGTTCTTAATAACTTCCTAAGTTTTGTAAGTGAAATCTGGTGAGACAACGTAACATGTGCTAGGGAGCCTCAGCTGATGCATGGTCCTGCATTCCACTACCCCCTTGCCTTCCTGAGATGGATTCTCAGCCACTTGCTCCCAAAATCACACTCAGTTGATGCGGAGAACAAAGGCAAAAGAAATGTAAGAAAAGATTAAATTTCCTCCGCAGCCCATCGACAAGTACTTAAGACAGGGTGACCTTCCTCTAGGAACTCAGCTGCCTTGATATTAATGCTTTGTTAAGGGCAAAAGGCAACCTTAGTTTGACATTAGCCCGACCTCCAGGATCCTATAACTCTTCTTAAACTTATAAAAATCCCTTTAGAAACTTCCTTTACCTCTACCACCCCAACCAAGATATATGTTAGTAATCATCCTCCAAGCATATGGCCCACTGATATACATCTGAAGGACCTCATGTCTAAGGTTTTACTAGACAGTAGTAAATGATCCTAACAGCAGCTAGCTCCTCAAAGTCCTGGAAACCTTGCTTCCAAATTCCTTAGAGACTTATGCTATCCCTAACCCCCTTCCAATGAAAGTATATAATCAGTCACTCCTCACAACCCCAGCGCAGTTCTTTCTGCCCACAGATCCTGTCCCTGTGTTTTAATAAAACCACATTTTTTGCACCAAATATGTCTCAAGAATTCTTTCTTGACTGTTCATTCCTGGACCCCGACATCACTGTGAACACTGCCATCTTGCACCCACAGCAGGGACCTGGATGCGGGTGCTAGGGGAGTACATGAGCCCTATGCACCAAGCAGCAGGATGTGGCCTTGGGGTGCCTGTAAGGTCTCCACCCGCCCGGGAAGTATCCCCACGCCTGAAGGAGTAGGACATTAAATCGCAAATTAAAAACTTGACAGTTGAGAAAGACCACAGAAGAAAGACCCACTGCCTTTTGAACAAGGGGCCCTGTATTTTCATTTTGCACCTAGCAAATTATGAAGTTGGCCCTGGCTGATCCTCCAGTCTCTCCAGGCAAAAAGCTTCCAATATGTCTTTCTCATGGAGGCCAAGAAGAAAGCCTCTTAAAGCATAAGAAAGGATCCCACAAACTCAGCCAGCCTACTCACCACCCACAAACTCTGTTGTTCAAGTATTTTTATTTGCAGGGTTATTTGGCCCAAAGCAGCTAGCTGTCAGTCCTCTTCTGGTGGATGACATCTGAAATGTGTGAGGCAAGCATTGTACTTTCATCATTTCCTAAGCATACTTTTTAATCCCTGTAATGGTTCTCCAGAGTAACGGATTGCCAGGAATGGAGTAACAGGGGATGAGAAAGAAACCAGGGTCTTTTCAAAGGGAAAAGGCAAAAATAAGAGTGTAGCTTCCAGGTATTATTAAATAAAAGAATAATTTTTGTAATCATATGCCAGGAGAGGATGTAATGCAGTAATGACAATAATTTGTATTTGTCGTGAAGTATACACTATTTAGTTATAAAAATGGGAGCGACATATAGTCCTAAACTGTAATAAAAGGAGGACTTGGACCAAGCACGGACTCCAAGGTAAGGACCTGGAAATGTGCCCCTGGCTTGCTGAACAGGGCCTCGGTCTGTAGGCAGGCATATTCTCCACAGTGAAGGTGCCATAGAGACAAATGAGTTACCGGCTTCTTGCTCTGTGTGTCTTGGAGAAAGATGTTATGTCATTTCAAAGACCAGCCAGCAGAATTAGCGCTAGTGATGCTACATAGAGAAGTGATTTGTTCATTCTTCTCTCTGCCAAGAGGCAGGAGGAACTACGTTGGCCCTTATGGAATCATATCAGAGAATCTCGTCCCTCCTCTTTTTCCTTCTCGGGAGCTGCGGATGCAGAGGGATGCATCTGGCCAGCACAAAATAAATAAATCAGAAACTTGCAGAATCCCAAATCTGGAATGGAGCTTGGAGATCAGTTCCAGCCTCACTCTCTGCAACATTGCTTCTGCCAAGTGTAAGGATCCAACTTGGTTCCAGTAAAGAACCGGGTTAGGGGTCTTTGAGCCACACTGAGCAAGAAAAAGTTGGGATGTCACCACATAAACCTCAAAGGCAAAGAGGGTTTCTTTCCAGAAGTTCATACTCACTCCCAGGGCCCACACAGACTGGGCAGCAGCTCCCTTCGGGGATGAATTCCAGCTCCTGCTGTGTGCACAACAGCGGTGGGCATGGCTGGGGCATGCATCGGACTTCCCCATGCGTACACGAGCACACACTGCACGGGGAGGAGGCCCACTCTGTCCCATGCTGGGGTGAGGGGAAAAAAGAATAAGAAGGTTATTGTCAGAATATAGCTTTCATCTGACCAGACAGAAGCAAACCTCTTACACAAATGAAGGACAGTGCTCAGGAGAGATGGAAGAAGGCTCTAGGCTTACAAGGTTAAGACCAGGATTTATTATGTTCTAAGCCAGAGACCAATTAAAAACCTGAATTTTCTTTTCTTTTTAGTATCCCTAAGATTTATATTTGAAAATTTCAGAAATACACAAAAATAAAATAAAAGGTACCCTAACCCCAGTCATTTAAAAAATTCTATAAAGTCTAAAGTAAAATATACACACATATACATACATATATTTACTGAATTCTTTATAATGGTCCTATTATTTTCAATAGCTCTCACTCTGTTCCTCTTTCTCTCTCTTTCTTTCTCTTTTTTTGCCTTTATTTTTTAAAACCCTGATTAGTTCCCATATTCCTCTTTTCCTATCCTTCCTCCTCCCTGTCCCCCTCTGCCTCTCTCCTGCTCCAATAATCTTTAGGTCCTGGGGAAATACGATAGCCAGCAAGAGGCATCTGCTTCAGCCAGCTCTTCCACAAACTACAGAGCCAACTCTGAGCCCATCTACATACACAGAATGCTGCTAATCCACTTCAGATTGGGATATGATGTTCCCAAAGCTAGCACTGTATCAGTGATCTAACAGATCCCTGTTTTGAGTTCTGTGACTTACTGAGTACCAAAAATATTTAAATGAGCCCCCCTCAGATATGATGCAGATTGGGGGTGGTGAACACTGAATATAAAAAGCTACAAATATGTTGATTGCCTGGGAAAGTAGCTATCAAAATATGGCAGAATGGAATAATGGTGGCCTTTTACAAGATGTGTGTGTGGGGGGAGGGGGAGATAAGTTTAATGAATGAAATTTTCCTCCTATAACATTTTCTTAAATATTTGGAGACTGATTTCCTTTGCCTCTATTAAATGCAACATATGATGATAACTGATCCAGCACAAATCATGTATAGATTTCTACTAAAAACATCACACATTCCAGGTGCTCAATCACCTAAATATAATCTGGGGATTACAACTGTGCGACTGAGAAGCATAGAAAATAAATGTCCCCTTGCTTCTCAAGCTAGCATCCAGAATAGTTATTCAGCATTCCCAAACACAAAAGAACTCTGTCTTACCTAAACAAGTCAGTACCCCATTATTCTGCAAATTACAGCCAGGTTGCAAGCAAGCCACGTCTGACGTTACTAATAACCTGTGCTATTATTATAATGATAGTAATAGGCACTCACAGTCATCCAATTATTTGGGAACCGAGTCCTCACCTTACTGTCATGGAGATTACTTTCTTCTAGATGGACTTTCTGGAGCACAAGAGAACAATAATGCAAGTATGCACTGAATCAGATGCATCAAGTGTTTCCTTGGAAGCTCCCAGCTCAGCCCTCCCTGCCTTAGGAACTGTGGGTGAGTGACTTAATCTTTCTAAATCTCAGCTTTCTGGTCTGAAAAACTGAAATGGTATGACAACATCCCCTTCACTGGGTTACTATAAGTATTATATGAGGTAGTTTTTTAAAGAGCAGGCAAGGGAGAGGAAGGGTGGCAGGTAGAGGGTGCTCAATCCTCTCCCCTCTTTCCACTGTGTTGAGTTCACAGCCTTCCTCCTCCTTTTCACACTCGTGTGCTATCTGTGACCATAGAAATGGACATAAATATCAAGGCCAAGTCCTCTACCACCAATTTTTATTTCTGCTATAATTAAATATAAAATTTCAAATTTAGTACAGCATATAAATGGGCAAGCCCACAACTTGCTAATAAACTATTAACTAATAAAAGATAGGGGGCAAATGACCTTTATACTTTGAAAAGCCTAAGCATAAAAGCAAAGAAAGAAACTGTAAGAGAAAAACTGATAGGTTCTAATGAGTTAAAATTGTATTTTTTTAAGTTTATTTATTTTTGAGAAAGAGAGAGTGTGTGTGTGCACAAGCAGTGGAGGGTCAGAGAGAGAGGGAGACACAGAACCCAAAGCAAGATCCAGGCTCTGAGCTGTCAGCACAGAGCCCGATGCAAGGCTCGAACCCACGAACCATGAGATCATGACGTGAGCCGAAGTCAGACGCTTAACCAACTGAGCCACCCAGTCGCCCCTCTAATGAATTAAAATTTTTAAAGTCTGTCAAAAATACATTATAAACAAAGTCAAAAGGCAAACGGCAAGCTGATAAAAATTGGAAATTATATTAATTAGAACTAAACTCTATTATATAAAGTCATTTCCAAGCAGTAAGAAAAAAAAACAACAGAAAACAAGCTTATAGAATATTTAATGCTATAAATTGCAAAGAAATATTAATTAAAATAAAATTGGATAATACTTCTTAATATCAGATATAGGAAGAGTTTAAAATTCATAGTAGTGTTGGTGAAACAGCAGTGGAATGGCATTTTCTCCTTCACAGAGCCTTCCCTCACCACAGCACCTGGAATATTCAGCCAGGTGGGGCCTACCCAGGGTAATCACACCTGAAGAAAGGCGGCACGAGCCGTGATATTCCCACTGGATTTCTCATTAGACACAGACAACTTAAAATTGAATTTTAATGATCACAGATGTCACAGCTTCAATAATCAAAACCTTTAGATGCTTTGCCTGGGTGGCTCGGTCGGTTAAACGTCTGACTTAGGCTCAGGACATGATCTCACACTCCGTGATTTTGAACCCTGCATCAGGATCTGTGCTGACAGCTTCTAGAGCTCAGAGCCTGGAGCCTGCTTTGGATTCTGTCTCCCTCTCTCTCTGCCCCTCCCCTGCTCGCACTCTGTCTCTTTCTCTCAAAAATAAATAAACATTAAAACAAATTTTAAAAAATCTTTAGATGCTTTGACCGACTAATTTCACTTAAAAGAAGTTATCTGAAGAAAATGATCAACAACACACAAAATGTTTAAATATAAGGAATTCCATTTCATTGTTCTTTATGTACCAAAGTTGGAAATATGATCATGAAAATTAGAAGCTATACAAATCCCTAACAATAGGAAATCATGTTCTCCAAGGTGTGCCAGGGAACTATACACAACACGTTATATTTAAAAAGTAAGACATAAACTGTACACACAGTATAATTATAATTACGTAAGAACATGTATCTCTATCTATCCATCTCCCCTGCTACCTCCTCTCCAAAAAACTGAGAGAACACCGACAGTGATTTTCATAGCTTGAGAATTACCAATGATGTTTTTTCTGCTTATACACTTTTTTATTTTCCAATTTTCACCATAAACATATTTTTACTTTTGTCGTCAGAAGGCAAATTACTGTTTAAAATATCGAATGAATCATTTATATGTCTTAAATAAACTAAAATGTGAAGGCTGCATATAAAACAGCTTGAAGTGAACTTCTTTATCTATTAAAAGTCAGAAGATTGCTTCTAAACATCTTGACATTTCACTTCATTAAAATAAGAGCTTGTTCTGTTGCTACTAAGAAACACTAACAGTTGTTTCTTAAACATTTGCAATCACACGACCTTTCACACAGAGACCACAAAAATTAATTACAATAACAACCTGTCAATCACCACATTTTTTCATCTGTAAAATGAGAGGGTTGTGTTAGCTAATCTCGTCAGTACCTTCAAGCTCTCTGATGATGTGCATCTATTATCTAACTCAAGAGACATAAAACGAGGCAGGGGATTCTCCCTTCACAATAAGCTTGAAAATTATGGGAATAACAGCAAACACTTGGTGGGGAATCTCCAATGCTTGGTGTCAAAGCCACAGAAGAAGATCCTTAGGGTGATCCAAAGGGCACAGTTTCTCTCTCTCCTCTCTCTGCCCCTCCCCTGCTTGTGTGCTCGCTCTCTCTCTCTCTCTCTCTCTCAAAATAAATAAACATTTTTTTAAAAAAGGGAGGGCGGGAGGGGCGCCTGGGTGGCTCAGTCCATTAAGCGACCAACTCTTGGTTTCAGCTCAGGTCATGATCTTATGGTTCTTGAGTTGGAGCCCTGCGTCAGATTCTGGGCTGACAGTGTGGAACCTGCTTGGGATTCTCTCTCCCTCTCTCTCTGCCCCTCCCCTGCTTGTGCTCTCTCTTAAAATAAATAAGCATTTAAAAAAATAACAAAGTGCACAGAGTGATGAAGACAAATTGCTCCCACATCTCTCTTGGGAAAAAGTCACATAAGTCCACTCCATTTTCCTCTCCTACACCTATAGCTAAAACAGTGATGTCGCCCTGAGCAGAGGCAGATTAGAGATAAAGGGGCTTGGCACATGCTGATATATATATATATACATTATAATTATAATATAACACAATATAATTATAATTATAGAATTTTACATATATATACATTTATATATAATTTCCTAGTGTTCTCTATACCCATTTACAAAAGCCTCACTTTTTGTAAACACTGTGGCAGCAAAGAGAGCTTTGTAAAGCCAAGGAATAATAGATACACAAAGCAATGCCCCCAGATCTGGTTTTAGCTGTGTCATCTTAACCTCATTAATACCTTTTGAAAATATGAGATTTTGACATGGGACAAAAGTGCATTCTGCAGACAACATCTTAAATATATTCTTTTGCATAGCCGACTAATAAGTCGGCCTGGCTGTTGACATAAGTCCAAAGGAAAGATAAGGTCATAAAGTATTTGCCTGGCTTACTGACGGAACAATAAAATAATTTTTCTTTGTATAATTTGTTCCTGTTATGAAGTTATAGATCCAGAATACTAACTATCTGGGAATGTTCAGTGCATATTATAATTACATCCTCTACTTTGAAGAGAACAAGGCTACGGAATTCAATATTCATTTCTTCCTTCACACACATAAATTAGTACTGTTAGCGTCACAGACGGCAAGGCGAGCAGACCTCTCTCCTCTATTCAATCGAATGTGGGCACTAGGGCATCACCACTTTTTCGGTGAATCTCCACACACTATCTTCTCAGACCTGACATTATCTAGTGATGGGATTCAATTAGTAAAAAAGGGAAAGAGAGAGGATTAATGGTCCTCTTCCCTCCGTTTCACAAGCTAATTTGTGGGGCAAAGAACAGGGAAAAGCATTCCAATGCTCTTTAGGAAAACATATTTCAGGCTTGTCTCCCTGAATGGTTGGCAAGGCTGGGCAGAGATCCAAACACTAATTTGAAGGGATAGCTTTCGGGAGGTCATGGATGAAATAGTCCCCCAAATGCTGGCTGTAATAAGCCCGTGTAAGACTCTCAAATAACCTGGAGTCAGCCAAATGGCTCATGTGTTTTCCTCACTCCAGGGAAGATGTCGGGACTTGTCCTGACTTGTTAGAAGGCTGGTTGTGTAATAAGCTGTTTACCCTGCAAACAAAGGTGGTCCTCTAGTGAGGCGAGGCTGTTTCATTAAAGGGTGGCCTCCTCGTGCTGCCCTGGGCTGGACCCATCCTTGACTTTCCTTTGCTTCCTTCAACCCTATTCTCTTGAGACAGTATCACTTCAACTAATTCCCCTCCTGCCACACTTCCTACAGACTCTTGTAAAGCCCTCTCTTAGGAGAAAGCTTTCACCGTGGATCACCATTCTAAAGTTCTTAAAATATCGGGCTATTTTGTAGCTACAGGGAGAGCATCTCCATGACCTGCCCTATGGGATGCAAGCCAGAGGCTAAAGAGAAGATTATTGCTGTTCCATGAGAAAGGAGTGCTCTGGACTGCTTCCTAAGCAAGCAGAAAGGGTCAAAAACAAACAAACAAACAAAAAAACCCCAAAACCCTCTAAGATTCAGGAAAAAACCTAGTGATACAAGCAACAAGGTGAGAGTTGGAGCAAACCCAGACAAGTATTTAAGCCACAAAAGAAAACAAATAATATTAAAAAGGCTTTGGCAAGAATCTAGGGGAAGTGAAAAAAGTGAGAGGAAGGAAGGGCAGAAAGGCAAGAAACATGATCATTTTAACCTTATTAAGACTAAAATTAGGAAATTTTTTTTGTCTCCGCTTAAAAAAAACATTATTCTATCTCTATTTGAAGAAGTAGACCACTAGAGATTTTTTTCCTTCAAAATAGAGTTCCTGAAATTCAGCTTTTTCTCACTTACATCAAGTACCAGAAATATAATATTTTCTGAGGAGTACGTTTTGAAAGTTGCATATGGGAAAACGACACATGGATATGTTCTTACCCAGTTTAGAGCTTTCCATGTGATGTAATACAGCAGAATGGGGTAGGGGGATGGGGGGAAGAAAGAGGGCTTTCTGAACTCTTCCAGAGAAAGCTGGAGGACAAGAGGATTTCATTTCTTCACTAATCCATCAGCAGATCGGTGGTCCTAGAACCACCCAGCCACATAGGTCGTTGGTCAATGACCAGCATGCCATTGGGACAAGGAGATTGATAAGTTGGAGAAGGAATTTGTTCATTGTTTGAATCCTCCATTGATGTTTACTGAGCACCCACTCTGGGAAAAGTTTAGCATCAAGTGCCTGGTTAGGTGGGAAGCAAGGAAGATCACTACAAAGATGCAGAAAATACTGTCAATGTTCTCAAGCATCTTAAACCAAGATAAGAAGATTGTGCATGTGCAAAAATATAACACAAGAGAACAAATGATAAATGTCATTAAACTACAAAGATTTATTGAATTCTGATTTTCCATGTCCCTAGTATCCTCACTCACTCGAGACGTCTGATTGTCCCCTGACCTTATTTTGGATACTAGGTGCTCCTTCATTTGCGAGATTCAGCTTGGTGCTTTTGACCTTGAACCACACACCTATTCAAATCATTATGACCTGGCATTACTTCCACCACCATTATGCTCTGCAGCACTTTCCATTTCAAAGGGGTCCCCTTCAGCAGCAAGGTTTACACCACTCCACATAATGAAGACTGAATTGAGCAGCAAAGGGTGATATGTGGTATGAAGACATTCCCAGCATAGATCCTGCTTGGGTGTCTTTCAGCAACACATTGTGCAGAACTGAAAGAGTGGCTTCGTCAGGTAATTAGGAGACAGTGGCTCAAGGGAGATGATCCTGTCCCACGGGGAAAGTACACTATGCTCACCGAGTTTTAGGTACACACTCTGAATAGCAGCCTAGAGTGGGTATATCAAATCCCACTAACCTGAATGGGCAGAGGCATTAACTTGGGGAGGGGTTTGTATCAGGTGGAAGATGAGGATTAAAAGCAAAGAGCCTCTTTCTACCACATTCAACATCACCTACTGCCTCAGGGTAACGTTTAGGTGTAAGTAAAGATGAACTGTACCCATTCCATTTTCATAAGTCCTATAAGAAACCTTGCAATTGTACTTTTTAATCAGTACTTAATGTCTATAAATTAATCCTAAAGGATCTGGTATGACAAAATATAATAAAAGAACTTTAGGATTGATTTCTAGCATTGTGGTTCTAAATGGGGGTACGTGAGCATTTTGTCCCTTAGGGGAAATTTGTCCATGCCTGCAGACACGTCTGGTTGTCAGGACTTAGGGTGCTTCCAGCGTCTATATAGAGGGTAAAAATCAGGAATGCTGCTAAATATCCTACAAGGCATAGTTCGGCCCCACCACAAAGCCTAAAATGTCAATAGTGCTGAAGTGTAGAAACCTTACCGTAATTGAAAGAGCCTTGAATTAGGAGTAAGAAAACCCAGGTTCTAGGTCAGGTTATACCACTTATTAGTAACAAGACATTGGGCAAGTACCTTAAGCTCTTCACAATTCAACTTTTTCATCTACAATACAGGAGTAATAAGATCTGCCCTATTCACTCACTCAGGGTTGTTTGTAATTATCAAAGGGAAACAATATATGTGATACAGAGACAAGGTGGTAACTTCATTATTCAGCATCACAACTTCTTCAATCAACATTGTCGAACTATGCTTTATAGACACAAATTCAATCTACAAATATTTACATAGGACCTATGAAATAAGTAGAACCATTTTAATTTTATTCAAGAAACCCAAATGCCTATGGAAAGTCAGATGGGCCTCAGGTCCTCCACAGCCCAGGCAAAGAAAAAAACCTCTCTTGTCAACACAAGTTCAGCATTCAGCTTTCCCTTGTCAATGATCTACAGGCATAGAATCAACCGTAGGTCAGAAAACACTTACCGCATAGATTTTCTTTTCATGATGGCAAGATCCGGAAGTCCTCAACACACACTCAGGGCAGCACTGGTTGGCAGCTATTTGAAGCACTTCTCCCTGAGCATTTAAAAACAGCTCAGTGTAAAACAGCAGCAGGAAACACACTCACAGTGGCTCATGGGACCCCAAGTCATCTCAGATACACTAAATTTCATGAGTTTCCACGGGTGACAACAGACGGGATAAACCAAATAAACTGACAAAAAGGATTCTCTCTGTCAAGATGAGCTTTTCTCAAAGTTAAAACGAACCCCCCTGTGAAAGCAATTTCCTTGAAAATTGTCTACACCTCTTCACATGTAATGAAGTGGAGAATTTTATTCGCTAGAAATGTTCCATCTGAGTGTCACACAAGAAAAGAAGTTGGGGTGAGAGAAGAGCTGTATCTCCCTGAAAAGTTTGTTTCCCTCTGCTGAGAAGAGAAGACTTGGGATGAGGGTGGGGGTGGGGTGGCCACAGAACTGGCAGGTCTTCTAGCTACCTGTGGAGGCCTGCTGCAGCCAGTGGGGGGTGGGGAGGGGGATGAAGTTCTGATGTTCACTTTTACTGAACAGAGTAGCAAGGTACATGGGGCAGGGGACTGACAAAGCTGAGAGAGGAAACAGCATTGTTGTGAAGGTATCACGTGTACTGCAGAGAGCCAGCTAGAGTTCCTGGACTCCAATAAAGATCTACATTGTTTTTCAGGGCTACTGTAATTCGAATAGTGTTTCCTATCGAGATGCGATACTATCAAAGGAACGGGCTACCACGTGATATCCCGGGATCTCCTGGGAAGTTGTCATGTTAACTAACCATCCATTTGCCACTGTGAAGACTCCATCTATCCAAGCGTTATTAAAACTGTGGAGCAAAGAGCATATGTTTGTCTTTGGGGCCCAGTGATCCTCTGACTCATCTTGCTTTTCCACTTAGAAATCTTAGCATTTCAACAAGTCTTAAAGAAGTGACAGACTGGGCAATGAGTGATTTTGACCAAAAATGGTAAGAGAGCCTGCATTAGCCAGGAAATCACAGCTTGTCCACAGAATAAAAGTCTACAAAGAATTCATCCAGTAGAATGAAAATATGTGTGTGTGTGTGTATGCATGCATGTGTGTGTATTAATGTTTCTTTGATATTTGAGGTTTCTTCCATTTAAAAAAATGTACCTACAAGAGAATTCTAATTTTATGTAACTACATCCACAAGAGTGGGTGAGAAATGGGACTAAGATTTTACCACTGTTAATCCACAAGACAGATAAATACAATTTTATCTAGCAACAGTGATCACCAAATGCCTCCTATTCGCTTGACAAAATATACAATATGGGGTTTTATAAAATTGTTCATACTATGCAACATTAGTGACTTTTCAAAACAGTGCTCTCTGAACCCAAAAGGAAACTATACTTGTCTGATTTTCACAGTAAACTGTAGAAAACATATTAGCCTAATTTGCATTAAGAATTTCACACAGATAGAAAATAAGGTAATCCAAGTGTTGTTTATATTCTAACATGGAAGCAGGGAGCAAGGAAGAAAGGCAGATAAAATCAAGGACCATTTTATGCACCCAAATTAGTTTTGTTTTCTATAAAAACTGATTTTTCAGACTGGCCCTCAAAACTCATTTCATAATATAATATTATTTATTTGTGAACATCAGTGGGGGGCCCCAGCTTGAGTCTAACTATTGAACTTGTGGTAGAACATAAAAGAGGTGATTGGGTCTAAAGGAAGAGCAAAAGATTTTGCATGTGGGCGCTTAGAGAAGGAGAGACAGAGTTCTTGCTTCGTGACCATGTAACCTTGCATAGCCCTGTGAGCTGTGAGCTGCATGGAACACATAAACCTAGGGTTTGCATTGAGGAACAGTGGGAAGTAACTGTATGCGCAAGAGACATCAGTGAAAATTGCTAGGGTTTCTGGGCAAGATTACTTGCATAGGATCTACAAAAATCAACCAACAATAATTATGATGATCATTTGGTAAAGATAGCTAACACTTAACTGAGTACTTAGAATAGCCAGGTACTCTTGTAAGCATATACATGTATGTGCATATACATATACATATATGTGTGTATGTATGTCTATATATGTATTATGTTTGTATATACACAATATATAATTCTCACAATTTAATTAGGTAAATAGTATTATTAGCTGCATTGAGGCTTGCAGCCGAAACCCCACATGTAATATGGTGTTCCCTTGCATGGTATTGCCCTCCTCTATACATATATATTCTCCAGAAATCCTGAGGAGAGGATTGGTCCCCACAGGACTGGGTTAAATAATTAAGGTTCTAAATACCTCTGTTCTCTTTTTCTCAATATTTTTCTGTCTCTGTCTTTCTCCTTATTCCTAGGTAGCTAGCTCTCCAGCTAGCTATTCTAGATAGATATAGGAACTGGATATAGAATCTGTTAAGTATGGATAGGATGGATGGATAGATAGATAGATAGATAAATTGACAGAAAAAGAGGAAACATGTATCAGAATTTCCATTGACAATAGATTATTTCCAGTCAATCTACGAGTAAAACAAATTGTAAAAGGACTTTTAAACATTTTTAAAAGATGAGAGTAACAAAAGTTATTTATTAATAATAATAACTTAGGGTACAATGGTGATTCATTAACCTGTGCCGTGAACTAATGTAAGTATACCACAGCAGATTTGAATGACAACACATATTGCTGAGAAACACAAAGGAAACCTTAAAAACAACATGGTAGAGTAGAAATTATATTCGGTCATGAGTCAGGGCCTAAAGTATTGTCATGGCTGGACCACTTGCTAGCTCTGTGTCTTTGAGCAAGTGACTAAACCCCTACAGGTCTGTTTCTTTGTCTATAAAATGAGAAAGTCTGACTAAATTAATTCCAAAGGCCTCTTGTAGTTCTATCACTCCATAATCTATTTCATTACTTAAAATAAAGAACCCAAGTGCTCTATGATATACTCACATGATCCTGGAGTAGGAAATTTCTTATGGTTGGATCATTTGGTCCAACCCTCTCATTTTACACAGAAGGAAACTCCTTAGAGTTTCGCAGTCTTCAATTATGTCATTCTTTTTATTACTATCATTCACCAATTTTCTGATCACTCTTTCATACTCACTCACTAAAGACTTGGCTCCGAGGTCGCAGTTTCTTTTCTACACTATGTCTAGATATAATTCTGGACAACTTCAATGTCCATGAAACTGGCATTCTATCCTTGTACATTCTTAACCACTTCAATTCAAACAATCCTCCTCTCTGCTTCACTTGAGTCCCCACATGGTCATGGTTGACCTTGGGACCTATCTACACTCCAAATTATTCTATAACAGAAACCTTCAACTCTCTGAATCTGAACCTTCGGGACTTTATCTCTCTCTCACCCTCACCCCCACCATCTCACGTCTTTCAGCAGAATGACACTTTTTTCCCTCGAAGTCATTCAGCTCCCAAATGGCCTCATTTTCCTATTCATGTTAGCCTCAATGCCCAATCCTTACTGTATATTTATTCTTTCTCTCCATTGATATGGAAAAGCCTAATCCAGGATCTATTCCACAATTTGTCATTTCTGGCTAGTAAACATTGATGAGAAAATTATCCCATTATGCAGCTTGGTACCCGCACAGGTTCCTGATGTCCTGCTCCATCGGCCCTTAATATCACGCACACATACTTTACCTCAACCTTGGTCAGTCCCTTTCTCTTCTCAGTGACAGCTCCTAACATCCACTCTCTTTCTGCTCCCAACCAAATCTCAAAATCTTCACAAAGTCAGGTTAGATATGAACTACTTCAGTTTCCTGTCCCTTTTTTTACTTACAAATATAACTATATCTGTATCTGTCCATGTCTCTTTCTTTCCCGTTTTAGAGAATGAGGTTGGCCTCCCTACCCCAACCTCTGGATCCCACACACTCTGCTTCCCAAAAACCACTCCTTCTAATTCATTCATTCTGTCTGTCTTCCCTACCCCATCTCTCATATCATCAGCTTCTCTCTCTCTTCTAGGTCACCACCGTTTTTCCTCCTAGCATGATCATGTCTGTATCATGCTAATATCAAAAAATGAAAACAAAAACAAAACCCTCTCCCTTCTCTTGTTTGGTCATTCTGCAAGTATTGACGAAGCGTCGTACACTGTGCTGTTCGATGGGCTGCAATCGTGAAGAAGACATGGTTTTTGCTCTCAAGAAGCTAAGAGTCTGGAGGAGGAAGCAAACAAGTAAGTAGGCATTTGCAGTCTACTTAAGAGCTATAAGAAAAGCAGCAACACAGGAAGGCTCAATGGTTAGGGATGAGAGGTTCAAAGAAGCTTCACAAATGACTGGTGTCTGCCTAATGCCCCATTTCTCTCCTTCTAGTCTCAGCAAAGGTCCCTGCAAGAGCAGCCTTTACTTGGCTTCCTTTCCCTACTTTCTATTCACTCAAACTTCTGTGATATAGCTTCCTCTCCCACCACTCTACTGACACCATCTTCAAGGTGGCTTGTGATCAACACTGTTGATACAAACTCCTTCTGGAAACTCTCTACTCTCCTGACTATCATCATACTGCTCCCTTCTCTGGCCACTTCTTACCTCTTACCTCTTTGACCACATCTCTTTAATCTTCCTAAGATCCCTCTCTTATGTTCACCTCCTTGTAAATGACTGTGCTCCCCAAATTGCATCCTTGATCTTACACTCTTTCTTCACAAAATCTCTTTATATGAGCTCATTAAATCTAAAGGTTTACACTACTGACTATATGCTAATAATACCCACACAATATTTCCAACCTTGCCTTCTCCTCTAAGCTTTAGACTCATATATGGGCTCCCTTTTTGACATGCCCACCCGGCTTCTCCATGGACATTTCAAACTCAATGTTCCCTAAAGTGAAATCATCATTTCCTCCCAGACAGAATGCTTGTCCTCATTATCACATATTTTCAATATCAGTCAGTGGCTCAGCTAACAAATCATCAAACCATAAATATGGGAGTCATATCTCCTTTTCCTTTCCCTCACTCTTCTAACTTCATTTAGTTCTGCCTAGTTATCCCCTAAATGTTCTTGAACCTGCCCTTTCCTCTTGAGCCCTACACTACTGGCGCTCTGATTCAGGTGCTCATCCCTTCATCTAGATTATTCTCATGGCCTCTGAATTGATCTCCTCATTTCTAATATGCATTATCTTAGAAAAACCAAAGAGATCTTTCTTAAAAGTTGGAAATTATACCCACATGTCTGAAATCTTCATTAGTAATCTATTATCTTAAAAATAGAACCCCAAGCTCCATAGTACAGCATAGTACAAGGCTTTCCATAACCTCGAACTTACCAACTCTCTAGCCTTATCTCTCATTCATTCATCCAATCGGTCAAAAAATATTTATTGAGTGCCTACCATGTGTCAGGTGCTATTGTAGGTGCTGAGGACATACAGTGAATAAAAGAGACAGTAAACAAGAAGTATCAGTAAAATATATAGTATGTCAGATATTTGTGCCAAGAAGAAAAATAAAGCATGGAGGAGGAATAGGAAATGTGTGGTGGGGTAGAGATTTGCAATGTTTTTCAAGTTTTATTTATTTATTAATTTAAGAGAGAGAGGGAGTGGGGAAGGGAAAGGAGGACAGAAAATCCCAAGCAGGCTCCATGCTGTCAGCACAGAGCCCAGCATGGGGCCAAACTCACAAACCAAGAGATTATGACCTGAGCCAAAATCAAGATTTGGATGCTTAACCAACTGAGCCACTCAGGTGCCCCGAGA